GCACAATCCATCGAATTTCTAATCGCGATTACAATTACGGATGCCACAATTACGCAATCGTTTGTATAACATTATAATACCATGCATATTTTTACTTTTTTATTTAAAGTATCCAATCCAATGTATAGTTGACATTTGAGGCTAAATACTAAAGTTTTTCAGTTAGTGTTTTGTGCTTGTTTATTTTCATATAAAAATATGGCATGCAGTTGCTTCAAACAATGGTACAAACATCATTGAGTGTAAATTGTAATAATCGTAATTAATAATCGCAATTACAATTTCAAGGGAATAATCAACAATTAGGATTTTTGTCACAATCGTGCAGCCCTACTTGAAAGTCACTTTGGTAGTAAATTAGTACCACAGTCTATTAATAAAAACATACCATAGCTCTTCCAAGACTGTAGCCAGCACATTGCATCTGTCTCTGTTTGCGGTAAATGGCCTGTCTTGTGGCAGCTGAGCTCAGTGTCAGATGTTGCTGATGAGGAAGAAGAAAAAGGTATATATACCTGAATACAGTAAACTAGTCCAGAACATTTCATTACCTTAGATCAAAATCACATTTAATACCTCAAATACAAAGTAGGAGCAGAGCAAATGCATTATGCTTGTAATTATGCCAGCAAAACATTGGGTATTTCCTTCCATTTCCATTTATTTCTGCTCTTTTGAATATTTATTGGACCTCTGGAGAACGTTCTGCAAATCCCTACAGCCCATCAATATTCCCTGTCCATTGCATATACACTACTGTTCCAAAGGTTTGGGTCTGTAGGATTTTCTGATGAATTTTTTTTTTTAATTAGTCTCTTATGCTCAACAAGGCTGCATTTATTTGAGCAAAAATACAGTAAAAACAGTAAAATAAGTGTTTTCTATTTGAATACATTTTAAAATGTAATTTATTTCTGATGGCAAAGCTGAATTTTCAGCAGCCATTACTGCAGTCTTCAGTGTCACATTATCCTTCATAAATCAATCTAACATGCTGATTTGGCACTCGAGAAACATTTCTTATTAATGTTGAAAACAGTTGTGCTGCTTAATATTTTTGTGTAAAAGTATATAATATCAACATATAACACATATCACAGTTTAACACATATTGCCAGAATTCAGTCTGGGCCTTCAAATCATAATTTAGTATTCCTTCCACTCTCCACTATAATCACACACCTCTAGGTTGATAGTTTCAGTGATTTTGCTCAGCAGGGCCTCGCTGGCTGAACGGTGCATATCGGTTTGCTTTGTGATGACATCACTCATGACTTGTGAAATGTTCTCTCTGAGCTGCTGAGATTCACGTAGTACTGTTGATGAATAATCCAAAGCCTGTTTGCACTCTTGCAAATGACAGACAGAGTGAGATTAGGTACCAGCGGTCGTTCACTGTCTGCATGCAAGCTTGGGTGACAGAGACAAAGGAAGGGTGAGAGACTTTAAGATAAAAGTGGCACGGGGTACCTGGGGTGAACGGTCCAGCGGGGTCAGGTTTCAGTAAGAGGGGAGAAGGGTATGTTTTCACACCCGCTGAGAGTGAGCCATGCTGGGGAAGCAGCTCTGTTACTCTGGATCTCTCAAAGGCACAATCCAACAACTGCTTACTGCTCTCAGCCAAAGCCTCAAAATAAAAATAAAATAAAATAACAAAAACAGAATACAGCTTTTTTTTTTTCAGTCCTGATGAAACAGTTCTACTGAACATGTAAGTTCGACTTGAGACCATTCATTTGCTAATGCAAAATTATATTTAGTGAATCATCCATAACTTGTTCAAAAGTTTGGAGTTGGTAAGATTTTCTAATGTTTTTGAAAGAGGTCTCTTATGTTTACCTATTTGATCAAAAATACAGTAAAAACAGTAATATTGTGAAATATTTTTTAACAATTTAAAATAATTATATTCTATTTTTTTATATTGTAAAATGTAATTTATTCCTGTAATGGCAAAGCTGAATTTTTAATGTCACATGATCCATCAGAAATCATTCTAATATGCTGATTTGGTGCTCAAGAAACATTTCTTATCAGTGTTGAAAATAGTTCTGCAGCTTAATATTTTTATGAAAACCATGATTCTGAATAGGTTAAAAGAACGAAGTATGAAGATCAAAAGAACAGCATTCATTTAAAATAGAAATCTTTTGTAAGATAAATGTCTTTAATGTCACTTTTGATCAATTTATTGCATTCTAAAAACAAATAAAAAAATAATTTCTTATTCTTCTTTTTTGTCTTTGAATGGTAGTGTACATAAATTAAAGTTCAGATTATATAGTTTATCTTTAGACTAGATAGTATTTTAGAAATTAAACTGTCAAAAGAGTGGCCTGAACAGTGGTGTGAAAACATTCCTTTATAGGCATTAGATATATCTAATCTACATGATATTATATTTCCAACAAGGCCTATGTTTCACCTGTTGTTGAGTTAAAGTCTTTCTCAACATGCTCTCCAGTTCTTGTTTTAGCACATTCAGGCCTCTTTGTTCTTTGTGTAGAAGATCATCAGCTCCATCCAGTATCTTGACAAAACATAGAGTGGAAGCCATGAACTATTTATTTTTCAACAAGGATATTTAATATATTTTGTCCACATTTGATCTCTTTAACCTCTTATGGGGTCACTTTAAATTAGACTACCAGTCATTTTACTGTATATACTGTAGCTACTCACTGTCTCTGTGGTGGCCGGTCGAAATGTCCTTCCGTCTGCACTTTGCTGATTGACCAGCAATGCTTTCCTTAGACTGCGGAGCAATTTTTCCAGTTGTTCCCTTTGATGCTCCACCCTGGTGCCCTCCTGTGTGACCCTACCTGCTTGTCTGCGCAGGTGACCCTCCACCTCTCTCACACCCCGCATATATTCACCCGTCATACCGGTGCTGACAACTGCACTCTGATCACGCAGGGCCGGTGGGGGGAACGGCCTGCTCATGACTCCAGAAGTGAGCTATGAAAGAAAAACAATGTTTTATCATATTGTTGGAATATGGAATGTACTTCTAATGAACATGTACAGTAAATGCAACTTGAGTCCTAATTCTAGTCTTATCATATACAGGTATATCATCATATATATCATCATATATTAATGTTCATAAATGTTTTAATGTTTTTGAAATTAGTTATATTATGCTCACTGAGACTGCATTTATTTGATCAAAAATACAGTAAAAACTAAATTATTAAAATATTATTACAACTTAAAATGACTTTATATTTTAATATATTTAAAAATGTAGGCCTAATAATGGTTAACTTGAAACGGGTTTCTCATTGCTCAATACCAAATAAAATATCTAGTGTAGAGGCTAATGATCGATATATTTTAATTTAATGTCAATTACAGCATAAAAATAATATATTCCAAAACTGTTGTTTTCTTTCTTTCTAAAAAAATTGCGTTCGCTTGCAAAACTTTTGCGTTTCTCAGGGGAACGTTTTACGAACAAACGCAACATTTCTCGAGGAAACGTATCAGTTTTGCGAAAGAACACGAAAGCATTCGAATATTAGTTTTCATAATAATTTTTTCCGTATTTTTGAAAAAAAGTTCAGACCTCTGCAAAATTGTATTCACAATTAAATTATACACCGCCGCTTCGAGCACATTAGTGCTGAAATAAATAGAATATTCAATATAAAAATATTAAGCATTCAAACTTAAATTAAAATGTTGTTTAATTAAGAAATGTGAAATGTAAACCATATTCATAATTAACGATCTGCAATTACTGGTGCGCGCTACCTCATGATGACGCAACGCTGCATTGACCAATCAGAAACCAGGACCGGAATTGTGCGTTTTATAATAACAAATAGGCACTTTGCTGCTTGATTTTAAATAAACGAGCCACCATATCAACTTCTGAGGTACTTTACCATACTTCCAGTGGATTTAGGTCGGAATTCGTCTTTCTTTTCCGAGCCACTCTCATTGTGCTCCTTTTCGACGCTGCTGTTCACACTGTATGCTGTTAACGGAGGAAGTCTGTGGGTAACGTTAAATGTCCCAACGCTGTGGATGCGGTAGCGTGTAGATGAGTGCAGTTGATCTACGTGAGTTTGACGCAGAAGATCTTCGGCGCGCAGAATCGAGCGGACAGTCGCGTCCCTCCAGCCTTTAGATCCCACAACCGCAGCCGGGGGAGCGGACTGGACCGGCCGCTTCATGGTCATGGTAACGTACTTATCTACTTTACTTTACCATCAGTGGAACAATCCCAATAACTCCAAAGTGTTTGGGTTTAAAAGTGTTGGTTGTCTCCATCGCAACAGTTCCTCAAGTGACCGGGTGCGTGCACAGAGCTCTGATTGGGTAACACGAGACGCACTAATGAATGAGTGTCAATGCAGGCAGTTCATTCAGCTCCATTCACACTGCAACTCAATCAGTTGCAGTGAGTGTGCTGTGATGTGCAACATAGTTTCCTAAATTAGTCTGGCACAATATATACATTTTTAAAAGAAATAAACAGTTACAATGAAGAATTTCTCATAAATAAGCATCATAATTTAACACTGTAACACTATTGACATTAGAAAAGTTCAACTTTTTATTAGCATTTAAATGTAATATTTTACATTCCAATAAATTACCCCATACTTTGATCAAATCATTTATACATTTTATAATTATATAGTATAACTATATAATATACTATACACACAGTCACTTTTCACCACGCATACCTAGAATAATTTTTTGATGATAGATGTTTGCATGATTATTCCAGGCCTGAAACAATTTAAAAGTCCCTGATATTTCAAGGTTTTGTATCACTGCCTATAGGAAGTATATGCACCTATGTAATATATGATGAGGACATCCATAAATAAAAATCTAGCACCAGACATAATGATCACACAAAAAAGTACAATCATTTAGATATTTGAGGCTTTATTGTCAATTATACCCCCAAGTTCTCAAGAAAGAACCTTTAATATCTCCAGCCTCCAACAAAACCTTCAGAAAACCCACACAAACTTGAGGCTTCATTTGAAATGTGATTTATGAGGTTTGCACCAAGTCGTGAGGATTCCAGTGTAGCCAAATAAAATAAGCCGATTAAAACATGTACTTTCCAGAGAGTCTTTAAATCCTTCTATTGTGCAAAAGTTTTCTCTACACTGGAACGAAGATAGCACATTCCAGTTGGTACCATAATGGAATCTCCAAAATCAAACATTTATAAATAAAGAAAAAATATAAGATCACATGGAAAATCACATTGGGGAAAGACAAATCAAACAATAACAAGAAAAGCAGCATTCAACATATCCATTCATAATTAATAAAACACAATTTAAACATTTAATAATAATAATGGCAGGATTGTGGGATATGGAAAAATAATTATTAATAAGCAAAGTGTGTGCTGAAAAGGCACTTGTGTGTAACAATGTAAATCTTGGAACCAAAATCTGGAAATGTGGGAAGTAATCAGAACATTTTTAGTTCAATCTAAATTACTAAAGCAACCTGTAATGCCCCAGTCATAAATTAATTTAAACAAAAAAAAAAAACATTTCATAATATACACTCAACTTTCTCAAAAGTTCAGTTTTGAGGAATCTGGTAGAACATGCAAATGGCACTATTCATTACTGTTTTAACAGAATTAACTTTATTAGAAGCTGAACCATTGTTTTAGATTGCACTCAATGAAAGTAGTGCCATTCACAATATATTGAGCTGTTATCAAGTTTAGCGCATACACAACATCATTCAACTCAAATTATGTGTTTAATCACACACTCACAGTGTGTGTTTGAGGGCTGTTTTGGGTCCAAGTCTGCTAGAGATGTTTTGCTGTAGCTCTGTTAACACACCGTCCCGCTCCTGTAACTCCAGAAGAACTTGCTATGAAGGGCAAACAAGAATATATCATGTCAGTAATTTGTGATCATGGAGGATGTGTTAAATTGGTAGCAACCAGCAGTTTAGAACCGGTTATTTACCTCTATGAGTTTATCCCTCTTCTGAAGATTGTCTCTTAGTTTTCCTTCCTCAAAAGCTCTCTCCTCATTTTCCTTCTTCCAGCCTAGTTCAGCCTCCTTTTTCTCCTTGGTTTTCTCTCTCAGCTCTTTGAGTGTGTCCTTGAGTTGCTCTGATAGTGCAGTGATGGCTTGTTTGTGATTTTCTCTTTGGTCCTGAAATAAAATGGAGGCATGTTGACGAAAACATACAAACCTGATCTTGAGAGCACACTGGTTTGGACAGATCTTTTAGGCTATATTCAGACTGCAGGCAAATCAGACCAACTCCAACGTGTGGTTTGAATCAGAATAGGAAAAAAAAAATTAATTTCATGTGTTGTTTGCTTTCAGTTGATGAGTGAACAAAACTTCACTAAACTTTATTTGTAACATGCCTACCATCCAATAATTGCAGTAAGTTTGTGCTTGATATGAAACAAAGAGGTTTCGAATTCTGTCAATTGTATAATGAAATTTAAACAATAAATGTGGTTTTGAAGCTCTTTACTTTCAGTTTTGAAAATGTATTTCTGTTTCAGTGCTTTGGTAGAAAAAATATATGTATTTTGGTGCATCACTAGCTACTGATATTGGCCAGAACATTGTCTGCACACACCACTAGGTGGCGCAATTGCTTTTCTGTTGCATCATGAAATGGAAAAGTCATGGAGTACATTCATTAGATTCAGATTTTCAGGTTTTTGAGATATTCAGCACACTAAAAATGATTGGCAAGGAGTTGAAATTTTTGAAAAAAAGCCACAATGGGAAATTAAAGTTATGATTTAGTCAGACCTTACCAGTATGATGCTTTCAGCATCAGTTAAGGCCGATGAGAGACTTGAGATCTCCTGCAGCATGGTGGCGCTGAGCTCCTCTCTATCTCTGAAGCTCGCTGCCAGCAGAGCTTCTTTCTCTCCCAGCTGATTGACTAATCCAGCCTCAGCTCCGCCCCCTTCCAATCCCCGTCCAATCAGTGAGTCTGAGAGTGCCTATGGGGAAAATGTTAATAGTTGACTTCTGGAAATTATACATTAACTAAATCAACTGAACTTTGCAAATAACGCCACGTCTACCTGCACATCTCTGCGTGAACTCTCCAGCGCCTCTTTTAGCTGGGAAATATAGTCTTTGTTCGCCTTCACCAGTGCAGTCAGAGCTGAATCTCTCTCTTTCCACACTTCCCATTCTTTCATAATCTCCTGTTGGGCTCGATCCCTCTCCGCAAGCTCTACACACAGGTGCTATTAGAAGATACAAAACACTGATTTTCTTCTCATTATAGATTTGCAAGCTGAATAATTTTTTACTGTTTAACAATGTTTTTCATAATGCAAACCATTCAAACTATTGGGAAACTAAACCCCACTGCACTTTGAGAACCCTGTTTTCTGTATAAGAGGTCTCAATGCCTCATTTACTCTCCAATGAATAGCACTCATGTATAATAGCAGCAGTTATTAACCAAGTGATTAAGTAAACAGTATGTGTGTACCGTTGAATAAGAGCACTGTTTGTTTGACTCACGTTAATAACATCCTGGTTACACTGGAGCACAGTGTTGAGTGTGATGAAGTCTCTGTCTCTCTCTCTGCCAGCGTCTCTCATGGCCTGCAGCTGTTTCTCCAGAGTTTTCTCTTTTTCACTCACCTCAGACAGCTGGGCCTCCAGGACCACCTGATTAAAACATTAACATAAAAATTAAGTATAAGCACTGTGGAATAATGTGCATGTGTTTTCAGCATTACCTGGACCAAGCAAACACACAACTGCTCTTGTACTCCAGGTTAATTACCCCACAAAACTCACACTGACTGGGTGTGTTAGCCAGAACTTCAATGTAGGCTCAGTCTGTGTGTACTACTTGTAAGGGTCAAATAACTAAAGAATATAGTAAAACCGATTAAAATTACTGTTCCCACAAATTGAAACTGAAGTAAAGAATGCTACTGTTCAAACATTTGGGGTTGGTAAATAAAAAAAAAAAATGTTTTTGAAAGAAGCATGCTCACCATGGCTACTTTTTTCTTTGAAAAATACAGTAAAACAGTAATATTTTGAAATATTATTACAATTTAAAAACCATTTCTGTTTTTTAACATATATTAAAATGCAATTTATTCCTCTAATGGCAAAGCTGATGTTCCTTCAGAAATCCTTCTGATATGCTGATAAAACGTATTGACCTCAAACTTTCGAATGTAGTGTTTATTTGTAATTTATTTACTTATATATACATTTTCCAAGATGCTTTGATGAATAGAAAATATTATATAAAAACATAATTTAAAATATATATTATTACTACTATTTATTATTATAGGAAGCTGTCAAGAGGAAAATCATATTTCAATAATTGACTAAATTATGCTGTCATTCACTTCTAAAGTGAAAGTGAAAGTGACGTGACATGTGGCCAAGTATGGTTACCCATACTAGGAATTAATGCTCTGCATTTATCCCATCCTAAGTGCACACACACAGCAGTGAACACACACACCGTGAACACACACCCGGAGCAGTGGGCAGCCATTTATGCTGTGGTGCCCGGGGAGCAGTTGGGGGTTCGGTGCCTTGCTCAAGGGCACCTCAGTCATGATATTGAAGGTGGAAGAGAGCGCTGTACATTCACTCCCCCCACCTACAATTCCTGCCGGACCTGAGACTCGAACTCGCAACCTTTTGGGTTACGAGTCCGACTCACTAACCATTAGGCCACGACTTCCCCAAATAATGGCACAATTTTTATTATATGATCCGGTTTAGGGTTAGTCTATAGTAATTATAATAATTATCTTAATTTAGGAACAACAGAGGTCTGAGCAGTCTTCATTTAAACCGCTCAGTTTGTTCATCAGTTAGACCTCACCTCGCGTTCACTGCATGCATCAGTCACTGCGCTGGCCAGTTTTTTGATGAGTTTGTCAGTGTCCTGTGATTCCAGCCCCTGCTCAGCACACAGCTTCTGGATCAAAGTCACACATTCCTGAAGTGAGGGGAGCACAGAGTTCACTGACACATCCGTGACCTCCACACAATCCGTTTTTATCCTGAATCTATAATGAGTTCATCGATTCAGTACTCACCTGGATTACGTTCTCTCTGCTGTGCAGTGATTGGCTAAAACTCTCTATGAGATCATTTTTATTTTTCAGACTGGTCTATGTGGCAAAACAGATCAGATGGGTATTAGTCTCACAAACAGGCATCATCCCCAGTAAAATGACTCCCATGTCATGCCTGAGGGACAGTTCATGGCATTGTGACTCCTTATGACTGCATTCCACTAGTGTTGTTATAACTGCTATCAGCTCACACTACAGAGGAACCATTCAAATGCTCCTTCCCAGCATGCACCAGTGCTATGAAATTACAGCACTCTGTAAAATACTGAATTAAGGTAGATCATAAGAGAGCAGTAATGTACTGTGGCCACAAAAAGTATTTGGACACTTAAGTCACACTGTATATAACAGCATATCTATCTAAATTTTTGATCATAGGTCTGTTATTCCTCCTTCCCGAATTATCTATTTAAACTTAAACTTAAAATGATCTTCTTGTCCAAATACTTCTATGCAGTATTATTTTGGTATTATTTATATACTATTATAGTATTTATTAACATTTTGAATTAGCTTTTATTTTTATATTTTCAGTTGTTTTAATAATTTTGCTATATGCTTTTGTCATTTTTATTTGTTGTTTTTTTAATATATATTTATATTTAGCTTATATTTGTCAGTTTTGGTATTAGTAATTTTAATACTATCACTTAAATGAAAATTAGAAATGTTACCTTGGCAAAAAAACATTAAAACTGAATTAAGTCCTTTTTTTAGTTTTTCTAATATTTATATTTATTTCTCCTTTATTTCAATGAACAAAAAACTAGTTTTAAGAGTTTATCTACTGTTCTGTCATCTAAATCCTAACAGATTTCTTTTTATGAAACATTTTGATTTAAAGGTTTGTTTGTGTTGTCTTTCTAAATAAATGTAACTTAATTTTTTTTTTGTTATCTAATGCAATGGAATTCATACATTAATTGTGGCTTAAATGTCTGAATACTTGTTTGGGCCATTGTATGAATTCATTTCTCATGTATTTGTATATTTAGTTGAAAATACAATATATTTAATACATGATGAAGACTGAAAGAGAGAAAAATCACATCAAAATGCAGCAGCTGACAAGCCTTTTATGAAAGAAAGCCCAGGGCAAACTCCTTTGGTCTGGGAAGATTCCTGGAGGAGGTGTGTGTGTGTGTGTGTGTGTGTGTGTGTGTGTGT